CATCAATAGAAATTGTTCAAGAATTATTTTAAAATTTGTTTTAATTCTATTAGGGATACTCAATTTGTTAAGTTATCAGAAAAATGTGAGTTCTGGAGTTTTCTCAACGAAATGAGCATATAAATACATATATTATTATATATAAACATAGAATGTGTTACTTTCATGTAAAGATATTTTAAAACAACACATTTTCTGTTTTTCTAACTTGTTTTCCAATTTTAATATTTCTGATCTGAATCGTGAAGATTTAATGAAGAAAATTAGAAAAGAGGCGAGAATGTCGTTTCCCCCTATCAAATATTTTCAAGTAGAAAAAAAAATTAAATAAGAACAATGAATCCAAATGAATGAAGAAAATATGTGTATTCTAATATCAATTAAGAAGATAGGCGAATTCTATTAGATGGCTAAGCTAAAGATGTTAGAAGTTGGTACGCAAGTATTTCATGACAGCCTATCTTCCTATTATTGAAATTTTAGTTTATATTAAAAAATAATTATATGTAGCAACATATCTTATGATTTTATGATTTATTAATGTCTATCCTTCCATTTTACGTTAAGATTTCATCAATTTCCCTCAGCGAATTTGAAACATGGCAGAATAGAGAGTTTATTCCACTTCCTCAAACCTTAAAAAAAAAAAGAATATATAATGTATGATATATCCAAATTTCTTGTTAACGTATTTACAATATTTATGTTGGTTGTTTGAATTATTGTTTTTATAATAATATAAACTCCTGAGATTTTTTGGGGGGAAAAGAGAGGGGTCATTGGCCCCTCATCCCAACTAGTGTTGCCCAAAATCGGTCTCGGACTGTTGCAAGACCAAGACCAGGACTGAGGAGAGAGAGAGAGAATCACTTTATTATCATAAAATAAAATGGTGCTGCCCAATTACATTGGGTTGCTAACAACACAGCATACTTATTAATCACTACAGACAATATTTAAAATTATTATACAATTATATAGGATTGACAATATGTATGAGCATAGTATACAATATTTTATACATATATATACTATTATTTTTATTTTATTTTTTTCCTTTTTTTTCCATTTTTTTTTTTTATTTTTACTATTTCTTTCATTCATTTATTATCATTCTGTACCCTTTCTCTTCCTTCTCTCCCCTTATATGTTACCAATCCTCACATTCTCTCCTCTCTCTTTCTAACCTAATACATAAAAAATACATAAAGTACAGTGGACGTGTTCAATAAATACTAATATAAAAATGCTGTAACACACGTATGCCTCCCCCCCCCCCCCCGAAAAAAAAATAGATGTTTTTAAGCAAAATAGTTACTAATATTTGACAATTTTACTTATTATATGTTAGTAATTGGTATAATCAATATACTTTTGCATTTAACTGTTCTAATTTTTCATTCAGGCTTTGGTTTCTTCTGTCTAAAAATTTACAATAATATCTCTATAGTAATAAGCTAATAAGTAACTGCAAGATCAAGACTCTTGCGCAAGACCAAGATACGTCTCGATCTCGCATTTGGGCAGCACTTCTGCCAATCAGAATGGAAAGCGCAACTATGGTTGCCATATAAATTCAGTAGGTTTGTTGGGCAAAATAATGATAAAATTGTTTGATATTTATTTTTCACTATACTAGAGGACTACATAAAAAGAAGATACTCTATTATAATCCTGAAACTTATAGTCTATTTTTAACATACAACAAGCACAAAAGGATGCCAAACTAGTTATGTCTAAAGCGAAAAAAATAGGGGGAAAAAAACAAACAACAGGGACACCAACTCGTTTGTTCTTCTCGTACTCAGGAATAAACAGATCCTTCTATTCTATAAAAATGAACTAGGAGATCCTTTCTCTTAGACAGCCAGGACAAGAGAAATTCAATTTCTCTGGCAACCTTTTTGTAGCGGTTTTGAATAGGGCGAGCATTGAATACAGAATGGCGGCGGGTATATTGACGTCGATGGAAACGCACTGCCTTCTATACAGAGCGCTGTATTATCCCATTGTCTTGGTATATTTGGGGTCTTATGTATCAGCTGATGTTTTAGCTAAACATCTGTGTTTTGCATGAAGAAAATCCTAACGATAATTTACGCCATGTTGTGGAAGCATAGTTTCATAAACGTTCTCAAGTGAAGAAGTAAGCTTCGTCAGAAGAATAATATTGCTTCTGATGTGAACGCTCTGACAAACGAAAAACGATTCCGCCATTAGTCGCAACAGGTCGATATTATGAGAACTCGATCCTAGCTAATAATGCCCTTTATTGGCTTCGCTGGATAATTATGGATAAAGCTTGTAAACGCTTGTTAGTACGATCTCGTGGGAATGTCGCTCTGTCTGCTTTTTACTGTCCATTTTCTTTTCTCTATCGCTTGCTGACGTTTTGGTAACATATTTTCATCGTCATAAAATAAACACATAAAATCCAAAAAAGTATTACTAACTGTTTATTATAATTAATAAAGGTACCATTTCATTTAGATGAACCTATAATTCTTAGGGTATATTTCGGTATTTTTTATTTTTGCATATAATATTCTAAGAATGGCAGGATTTCAGGTTTAATAATGCTTAGATTAGAACATCTATTTAAATTATGGTCGCCTAAGAATTGGGCACTGTGAGTTTTCCCATGGATACCTCCTGCGATGATTAGAAGCACACATTGTCTGGTATTCAAAACAGTAAAACATATATTATTAGAATGTAGAAGGTACACTAATATAAGGAAAAAATTTCAAATGGGAACGGAAATGAAAGAAATTTTGCAAGATTGGGAGAATGAAATAGAAAAACTTTTCAAATATTTAAAGAATATTCACTTTTATCAACGAATATAAAATGGAAACATTAAGGGCCCTTAGGGGTATAGGCTAAATAAACAAATAAAAAAAAAATATGACATTAACTGCTATTTAAAATATACAAATAAATAAATATGTTCATATCTTGTTTAATACCTTAAATTGAATTACAATTTTCAGTAATTGTGAATATGAAAATTCAATAAATAAAAATGTTTAGCCCGAAAAGAATTATTACGTTCAAAATACTGCTGTTCTTAATTAAGATTGATAAGTTTAAGTAAAATCTATTTTTCGATGAGCCCACACTAACTTCCTGACCTCTGGTCTGGCCAACCCTCCGAGGACGTCCCATTGTCGGGCGGATCATTAGCCCTCTCATGAATATTTATTAGCCCTGCAAGGCGTGGGCGCCATTTTACTATCGAGCAGTGGTACTATACCCCGGCTAATGTATTGACTATATCAGCTCCGGTAATGTATTATGTATCGCTACAATTAGCAGATACTGAGAGAATACTTTGTAAAGCCTCAGCGCCTTGATGTACGGCCGTCTTTATCGAGAATATTAATGGCGCTAATTAGTCTATACTGAACGGACTACTAACGATACGCCCACTTTTAAACGTGTTAATTCCTTCTTGAAAATAAATTGTTCAAGTTTTTTTTCTTTGATCAGAAAGTTTTCTAATCCAAGTTCATAAAAAAATATTGATCTAATCATAATCATTTTTGAATGGGTAAAGAGGATTAAAGTATATATTATGAGAATAATAAATAATCATAATTTCCCGATCAAAGATAAGAAAGTCATTAATTTTCTAAACTTCGTCATTCGATATCGTGTCGTTCACGAGACTCTGAACCTGTCTGAATTATAGAATAATATAAAATTGAAATTTTATTTAAAAAACAACAACATATTTTAAATAATTTAGAATTGTGGGTTGATGCTTGACTGTCGTGAATAATGAAGAGAAGGATAATTGGGGCGATCAGTCAGAAATAAAAAGGCAAAAAATAAATAATAATATTTATTTTAACATTTTCCGACGTTTCGACCTGAAGTTCATCAGGCCTTCATCAGTGCTGTTCCAAGAGATTGCTGGAATAGAGCCCTGATGAAGGCTTGAATTTCAGGTCGAAACGTGGGAAAATTTTAAAATAAATATTATTATTTATTTTTGTCTTTTTATTTCTGCCTGATCATCCCAACTATCCTTCTCTTCATTAAATAATTTAGAGATGAATTTTTGTTTAGTGTATTTAAAAAAATATAAACAAAAATCTTTAGGTTTTTTAAACATATATAGTAAGGATTTTTTAGTAAATATTTAAGATTTCATTTATGTTTTGATCCTAGCATGTGGGTTATTATCAGGGCTACAAATTAAAAATATAATTTATCGACAGAAGGATGTAGAGTTATTGCTTGTTATCAGACAGCATTACAGCTGTTGTAAACAAAGGAAGGTTAGGCTTGGGTGAGGTTACCCTTAGGGCAGTAATCCTTTGTTCTTGATAGTGTGATGTTTACGTAGAGGAATAAAAAGTGTTTTGTATGTTTGTGGTGTAATTGTTTTCAACATAGCTTAATTTGTTTCCTGAAGTGATTTCCTCACGTCACAGAAGTACATAATAATCCAAGATTCTTATTTTTTTTTCTTAGGAGTTTCTTCAATGTGACGTTCTACTCAACCAATCTAATCGTTCTACTCAATCCGTTTCCAACAGTCCCCTACCAGCTATACTACACCACTCTATCCTTCTTTTTAACTGCTTGTCTTCCTCTCCTTCTTGTACCCTTTGACTTCAATCCCTAATTAGCTTAGCTTTGTAACCTGCTGTTCCTCATTTCTCGTGACCATACCTTCTTTTTCCCATCGTCTCTGGGACATATTGTCTTACTTCCAATTTCCTCCTTATAGTGATGTTTCTGACCCTTTAGATCTTGGGATTGTTTTTCTTCAAAAATCTCGGATCTATTCAACATTACACTTTCTACAAATGCTTTAACATAGGCCTCTTAACGATTTCTTAAAATTCTCGATGTTTTTGTCATTACATAACAGGCTGATAGTCTTAACCGTTTTATAATTAAATACTTCTTGACATGTCTTGTTTTTATTATTATATATTTATTAATTTGCTATATTTCAATGTATTTATCTCATATTTTATTTTCAGGATTTCGTGGCGACAACTGCGAGGAGAACGTAGACGACTGTCCCGGGAACCTGTGCCAGAACGGCGCGACTTGCCTCGACGACGTGAACAGATACCGTTGCCTTTGCCCTCCGACTTACAGCGGGGAGCTCTGTGAGAAAGACATCGATGAATGCTCCCTTCGGCCTAGTGTCTGCCACAACGGTGCCACTTGTACCAACACTCCCGGAGGGTACTCCTGTATCTGCGTCAACGGCTGGACGGGGAAGGACTGCTCGGAGAACATCGACGACTGCCAGGGTGCTGCATGCTTTAATGGCGCCACCTGCATAGATCGGGTCGGCAGTTTCTACTGCCAGTGCACTCCTGGCAAGACTGGTGAGTACTTTTTAGTATTAACATTTTGGTTATTAAAATATAAGATAATACTTTATGATAGGTCAATCGCTATCGATCGTAAGGAATGAAAACGCAGAACTATGATCATCATTCACCGATTGCGTAAACGCAATTGCTAGTTATGATTCACTGAAAAAAATGTAGCCTAGAGAGCTTATGATTCAATGAAAAAACGTAGAGCGCACTACAACTCACAAATAAATTAAATTTGAAATTTACTAAATTAGTACTATTGAATGAAACAATACTGAAACCATTCGCTCCTCGATTGAAGGAGATACTAAGTTGAGATTTGCATTTAAATACTAATTTTCATAACAATGAAATAATAAAAATATTTTCTCAAAACTTTCGTGTACCTTCCATTACTTTTCGAATATTACAAAAGTTGTGTTTATTCCTTACACGAGTTGATCTACGTGGGGAGTTTTGGGTCTGAAGTCCCTCTCTCTCTCCCAAAAAATGGTAAAATATAATCATGTTTATGAAAAAAATATAAAAAAATTATCTCTTAAAGTATTTTTGTTCGTGTAATTAAATTTAAAAGGACGTTAGGAATCACTTAAACACCGTTTCATATAGGTAGTTAGTTTCTTTCTTTTTTTCCAAAGTAATTATCGCTATTTTTATGAAAAAAAAAGCTTTCGGGCTGAAGCTCCCTCCACAATTAAATCCTGGATCCGATAGTGATTCCTTATAAAGGTTTATAATATTAAGATATTGTTATGGTTTGGAAGAGACGTATTTCAGGTTCCCAACTTATATAGTAACATTAAAATAAGGGAAAATCCTTCCATAAAATCAATTTTAAAAATTAATAATAACCTCTGAAACATTGACTGCTACTTACGCTGACGATACAACAATTTTAACAAAACACCATGATCCCGGACTAGTCTCATTAAATTTACAAAATCATTTACTAAATTTAAAAAATTGGTATTCACTTCGGACAATTAGATTAAATTATAACAAATCACAACACATAACATTTACGAGACACATGACCACCAGTTTATATCAGCAACAATCCAATTCCTCAGACGGACACTATACGCAATATCGGACTAATATTTGACAGAAGGATGACCTGGGGCCCACACGTCGAAATGAAAAGAAAAACTTTTAAACAAGCCATTGAAAATAATATACTTACTTTTTTCTAAATCGATCTCATTTGGACATACGCCTCACAGATTTACGGTTCAGCAAAAAAGACTCACTTACAAAAACTACTATCTAAAATTTTAAGACTAATAACTGCAGCTCCCTGGTATATCAACAACAAGACTGTACATACCGACCTAAGACAACCAACCATTGACCAGCACATACGTACTCTTTACTCCCGATTTCATTCTAAACTACAGGCACATCACAATGGACTTATCAACGACATGCCCACGTCTGAAATGTTCTTTAGGAGGCGACTGAAAAGGGGCTGGATGAGAGATCTACCCTGATTTTAGGATGTAAACAGACCAGGGAAGAGGTGCTACTGGGTTCCATTCTTCGTCATGCCTATCATGTCATTTGCTACCTAAGAACAAATCTGCTAATTGTCACTACCATGACAGATCCGGATGAAAAATTGAAGACAAAAAAGATTTTTTTTAATTTTCAAAATGAATTAGTATTTAAGAGTTTAAAAGGCTATTAACGAATATTTTTTATAACAAAAATTTACTTGAGTTACTTTACTGTTTGTTTATGATTAATTATACATCGCATTTCGCTCATCGAAAATCCCACAAATACTAATTTTCATCACAACCAAATAATAAAAATATTTTACTCAAAACTTTTGTGTGGACCTTTTATTATTTTTCTTTAAAAAAAAATTCTTGATTCTAAGATGGCTAGAACCCTCGTACATGGGTCTAATCTTTTTGAACCTATCATTACCAAAAAGAGTTTAATTATGACCTCACTTCCTCAAATTCCCCTTGACAGTAAAAAGTTTCTTGGCCAAATGTTGTGCATGGATGACTGGACTCAACATCCAGTGTTTCTGCCCTTAAACTTTAAAACATTTTATTTTGTTTGGAAAAATTCTCAGCTTGTCAGAACGATAACGACAGACAGACTCACCACTTGAGACCCATTAGCTCATCATCGGCTTCATAAGAAAATTGAATAATCTTCGTCGGAGGAAGTGCCCAGTTAGCGCAGGACCTTGGCCAACCTCATTTCCTATCGCTCTGTTCGAGGTCGCGTCGGCTCTTGGTCCATCTGATTTAGGCAAGAGAGATCCATGGGTCTTGGGAGTTGAGGATTAGTCATTTATTTGATAGTAACCTGGTAGATAATCCCTCTTTCTTGGCAGAGTAATGGTTTTAAACTGAATAGAAACCACAAACAATATATATTTTTTTTATTTATTTATTTAGACATACAATATTCTGTCACAGGGACAATAATTATATTGATAAATGAACACATTCACACCTTATATACAGAAAAATAAATAAAATTAACAAAGTAAAACAATAACTAAATAATAATAAATAAAAACTATATACAATAAAAAAATAAAATAACCTAAATATAAGTAAATTAAAAACATAAAAATACAATCATACCTATATACAATCTGGCGGGGAACCCAAATCCCTGCGCTCCTGCGCTACTCTCTCAACCTCCTCACCGGTGCTAAAGCCGGTGGAGTTTGAGCGAGACCGCTTTAGCCACATACACTCATGTCTTGAGTGGAGAATCTGGCCATTGCCAGAACTCCAAAATAAATACTATAAAAGATCTCTGGGTCACTGCCGCTTCAACCTTCGAGGAGGGTTGTAGGGATGAGCGGAACTAGATAGGGATTGGGCTAGAGGATTTGGATGATTGATAAGGTACAAACAATATTAACATTAAATATAATGTGGTAATATAGATTCCTTTTCCGGCTCTACGGAGTGATGAAGTTCATGGAATGTGGTATGAAAATAGAAGTAATATCATAGAGAAATGACGAAACCCAAATTGGATACTTAAATTTCCATTATATTAATAGAAACAAGAACACCCAAGTAAGAAAATTAACACTGTGCACACAGCGAATGTTTATTACTATATTATTATTAAGAAAATCTGTAAAGAATTGGTGAAACTTCATGCTTCAAACATATTAGTCCGTGGTGCAGATCCCTTTTTATCGAATTATTAACATCCTTCTGAAACTTCGTAAATGGTTTCATCTCATCGTAACCTACTAATATTTTATTTACGAAAACACTTGGAATTGGGGCGTTTTCAATCTGGATGGGAGCAAACTTTGTCTATTTAATTAGGTACTAAAAACTTACAAATACCCATTTGCTTTCTACTTGGATCGTAAGGTAATTTGATCACAAAGTCGAGAAAAAAGGTGACCTTAAAAATATTGAACTGTTTGTCATGACCTACACCTCCAAATTTTCAAAATAACGAGGTTATTTAGGACAAAGTCCTCCATATTTTTGTAGGTCAGCTTTTTTAATGATTTTCTGATCAATTTATTTTAAGATTCAAGTAGACAGTACGCCCAAGAATTTTCGTAAACAAAATAGTTGTAGGTTACGATGAGATGAAACTATTTGCGAAGTTTCAGGCGGATGTTAATAATTCGATAAAAAGGGGCCTGTACCACGGACTATATTGTGTATGTTGTGAGACTATATAGATAATATTAGATATATGGATATTAAATAATTATTCTGTGACAAAGTCTCTTGAGAATAACAAAATCATACAAAAATAAAAGAATTATTGTGTCCTAAAGATTTGAAACATTAAATAAAATTTTTAAAAAAATATAGAAAATATTAAGTGACCAAGGTGCGTACGAAACAAATAAAATTATGTACAAAACATTTAAAACTATATGCAATTGGTAAATAATATAAATATACACTTCTCAGAAAAAAACAAACTTATAAATAAATAATCCCTAAGTTTCTAAATAAAATGTCTGTCAATATAAAATGCCTAAGCATGTAAATAATGGATAATATGTAGATACATTATGAAAAGAGCATGATCATTTTTAACTTAAATACATCTAAGAATTTAATTGTATATAATAAAAAGAATAGTAATAAAAAAAAAATATGGTTTAAGTGGAATAGAGAATAGGAAAGTCTTGTAATATTCCTTGCAAAGAACAACTCTATCATTTGATGATAAATTACATGCAGTACAATAAATATAATGTCAAATGATTAGCAGATATCTGACTTTTGGGAACAGGAATTAGGATAGGAGAATTTTGAATGTAGATACGGCTCCCAAATTTTGATTGGGGGGGATCCCAGAAATTGACAGAGCGGGCCAAGAAGGAGATTTGAGATGATGAATGGAATATTATATTGTAATATGAATGAACAGCATTCACTTATGTCACTTATATGTCAAATGCATTAGAAAAAATGCTAGTTATCTAATGTGAGAGTTCTCTCGGAGATATACTTCAATAGTTATTTCAACAACATGGCAGGAATAATGCTTCAGACTTGAAAACGGAACTCCGGAAAAATTTATCATAAGTTTATCATTTCGCGCGGTATATATATATCGATTGTTTCACTTCCTCACAGGAACAGGATACGGTAAACCGAACGATAAATTTTGCCTAAAGATAAGAAAGCCCTTAATTTTCAAAGTTATACTTTTTCTTAACTTCGTTGTTCGATATCGTATCCCTCACAGGACCAAGTTTTTGGCAGATAACCAACAAAATCATGACCTGGATTTTGTTGGTTATCTGCTAAAAACAGCAGAAAATTACAATTATTATTTTTATTTTTTTTTTTACTCAAGCGTGTGGGTTATCATCAGAACTAAAAATTACTTCCGAAATATGGGATATAAATCATAGGTCGAGAATCTTTTTATCATTAGAGACCGCAGTAAGGTTAGGCAGTGATAATGGATGCCGTGTTAATAGTTTATATTTTATTGTTGCTATTTTTATTAATAAGTAAATACACACCCATGTACAT